ACATCTCCCGACATCACGAGGACATCGTTACCGTCACCCGCGATCACGGCAAAAATTGTGAACATCTACCGCCATCACGGGGACATCGTTATCGTCACCCGCGATCACGGCAAAAATTGTGAACATCTACCGCTATCACGAGGACATCGTTATCGTCACCCGCGATCACGGCAAAAATTGTGAACATCTACCGCCATCACGGGGACATCGTTATCGTCACCCGCGATCACGGCAAAAATTGTGAACATCTACCGCCATCACGGGGACATCGTTATTATTACTTGCGAGCGTTGCGAATCATTCATTAGAAAACAATAGACTGTCAATTTGACAACGTTTATTTTACACATTGTTTATATTATTAGTATTGATTTAACAGAAAATAGGCTTCCGTGTATCTTGGCTTGACAGATAATTAAGAAAAATATTTTGGAACAGGGAGATGTTAAAAATGGAAAGACTTCGCAAGACACCCGCAGGAGTTGCGCATGACTTAGATTTTAACAGATTGCACATTTTTCAGTGACGATTGATTGAATTATTAGATTTCGAAAGAACGGCTTGGTGGTATGAATGTCCGTTCGGCAAAAGCGATGGACCCGGGACTACATACCTGAGCCCACCCCTATAATCCTTCGGTGCGTCCGCCGGGCTGTCCGCTGCGCCCGCTGCCTAGGTGGTGAGTCACCTACCGGCTGTATTTATTCGATGGCATACGTTCTTAACAGAATTATAATTTTACACATTTTAAATTATATTTGAAATCTACTAAAATAGTTATGAAAAATTATACCAAACTTGACCTATGTATTAGAACATTTAATGCGAACTTTAAATTGTTTACATTGTCACTGCGATTTTTTATTTAGACAATCTGGAAGGCAAGTTTTATGCTGTAATGACTATTAAAAGCTTTACTTAGGGACTGTTTGGGTAAAAGAAAATTTATCGTAGAGTTTGTTAATAAAAGTAAATGTTTTTACTAAAATATGTGTTTAATAAAAATTACAATAATAATTGGAGAAAAATGTATATACATACATAGGAGGCAATACAGAAAGATTTAAAATCTAACAACTTAAATTAACACATCCACGCACTAACACAGAAAAACGTACTTTGAAAACGTACTATAGTACGTTTTCTGTGGCACTAACGACACGATGTGTGTGACTCACTATACACCCCTTTTTCAGAAATATTACGAGTCACCCAAAACCAGACTTGTTACCAGATTTGTTTGTTTATAAACGTTGTCATTATCAGATGATATCTTTAAATATCTAGGTCGAGTTTGGTATCATGTTTCATAATTTCCTTTTGTAGATTTCAAGTTTTATTTCAGAGTTTGAGTTATTGAGTATGACTCATCGCCTAGTCAGCGGATAGCCCGGCGGACGCAGTGAGGGATTATAGGGGTGGGCTCAGGTAGTCCCGGGTCCATCGGCCAACTTGAGTTAGACAAAGTGTAGTCTAGTCATTACGTATAACCAGAAGTATCTGAGCCTTGACTGCCACCTCGGAGATCTAATTTTTTGTAGATCTAATGTTTGTCTCCCGCGGCCTGGAGTTGAAAGTAGAAGCATAGATTATAATTATTATAAACATACTCCCTTGTTTAATCAATGGTTGAAGGCACTGAAGGCAGCCGTGATAGTTGCGCACTCTTAAATCAGGGCAGCCACCACAATTTGGATATTCTGCATGACACAATTAATTGTGATGGTTAGATAAATGTTGGCGCACCTGTTTCTCACAATTCAAACCATCAATTAAAAAAAAAACCCAAAACTACTGAACTAAACTACTAACCTCAAACTGTTAACTTTATTTTGCTGTTTGCACGTGTATTGTTTAGTGAATAGTCTGATTTATAATGAAAAAAATTCTTATCATGCGCCGCCTGTAAGTAAAATACTACCTGATTCTTTTATTAATAAATTTATTTAACATCCAGTTCAAAGTAAGGAAAGCCCTACATTTCTGGTTAATGGATAATTAATGTTATTAAAGTAGGCCTACAATAGGTTTAGGTTACCAGAATACAGTATGTTTAACTTAGGCTCAATTGCAATTTATTTTCAGCTGTTTTGGCTAGCCATTTGGCTTTCTAGTCCTTATTACAGTACATTGAATATTTTATAGGTTATTATCATTCCTTTGTGTTATTTTCAGTACAGACCAATTTGCAGAAATTTGTATTAAGAGCAGTGGCGGCGATAACAACCCGCTGGCCCCGGGCAAGTTTGTTCGCCGGGCCCCCTTCTCCCAATGATCTTTAAAAACATTTTCCCATGTATTACCGCCTAAACTTGCAATTTTGCAATAAACTTGAAAAGGCATCTCCCGAGGCGTCATTATCGTCTTCCATGATCGCGGCAAAATCGTAAATACTTCCCGTAGTCATAAGTCATGGAACAGTACTCAGTAGTTCTGTATTATAGTTTACCGTGATTGCAAATGTAACCATAAACCTATGACATTAGCAGCATCATCATCTCCCGCGTTCACGGCCCAATCTAATATCACGGCCTAATATCTCCCCGCGATCCGTCGGTGGTGACGGGTAAATCATTTTTCCGTAATCGTGGCTAAATCCTAGATATATCTCTCGCTAAAAAACAAAAAATAAAAAAAATAAACGTCATCATCGTCTTCCGCAATCGCGGCAAAATATTGAACATCTGCGGCCGCGGAGACATCGTCATCGTCACCCGCGGGGAAATGTTCTCGTCGATATCCGCGATCGCGGCAAAAGCGTAGGCCTTATCTTTCAATTTCGTGAGCGCGATCCTCACGGATATAAAAGCTTTTACTTTTAATTGTGCATTATTGTATTGAATACTGAGAAAATCGTTTTTATGGTATAGCCTCTGGATCACTGATTTTTACAATAAAAGGTTTAAATTACCTGTATCCGTCAAGGGATCCTGATTTGTAGTTGGTTGACTACAGCTGTTTCATGTTAATATTAACAAATCTTCAGGTCAAATTGTTGCATTGATTTATTCCATAGAATGGTCATCATAAGGTTTAAAGTTCACAAAAAATAACACATACACGTACACGAAACATTTAACACTGATTGGCCAAAACACAAAACGAAAAAGCGTGTAATAAATTCATGGAATAAATCAATGCAACAATTTGATCTAAAAAATTGTTAATATTAACATGAAACAGCTGTAGTCAACCAACTACAAACCAGGATCACTTGACGGATACAGGTAATTTAAAACTTTTATTGAGAAAATCGGCTCGAGCTTGATTTTCTGACTTTGTGCTTGATCTCTCAAGCTTGTAGTCCAGGCTCTGCTCGGTTAGAAAATCGACATTATAGGCCTTTTATAATGTCAACCGTTTCCAAAGCAACCCGATTTTGAACCCATCTGATTTGGCCTGAGGCCCTTAGGTAAGTAACATTTTTTACCTGACTCAATGTAAACACATCTAAAGTGCGAAGTAAACAAATCTTAAGGGCAGCCTCCTAATAGTAAGACATGAAATGAAATGAAAATCCTTCCTTAGCATCAATGAAAGAATGGAATTATTTATTAGCTAGTGCCCTAGCCACCTAGAATTTGCCGATTTGGTCGTAACAAAATTGTCAAGTTTATTTAGTCGAATCAGCATAGAGGATCCTCCTATGGTGTCACCCGCTGGGGGCTAGGAGGATTAACATTAATGTTTTATCTTCCTAGGCCAGAGGCCACATTGGATATAAATACGGCCCTATTATTATACAACCAATTTTGACTGCGCCTTCACACAATCCACGAGGACAGTTAATGCAATCCGCATGACTGATGACAATTCTTTTACTTAGGTTGTTAGATAATTTATATCGATCGGTCAAGTAATAGTGTTAGTTTAGCTGTTGTAAACTACTTGAACTATAGGTTTGAACAAATTTTCATCATAAAAAAACGTATTTTAATTCTCATATACATATTGTTATGATAGAGGACCCGTGTGGCTGAGCCTGTCACACTATCGCAGGCCCGTGTGCCTGTAAAATTTACCGAAAATCCCGGTAAAGGCTCACGGGCCCCCCTAGCTCGCGGGCCCCCCCTCACCGCTGGCCCACATCGCCGCCACTGATTAAGAGTGCTTTGACACACTTAATAACTCATGCAACAATTACAAAAGTAGGAAGAACATTTCTAATCTAATCTCACAGTGAACTAGATATAGACCTAAGTTATAATCACTTTCGTATTCGAAAAATATTTTGAGATTGTAAAGCACTCTTCAGCAAATGTTTGAGATTAACAACATTAACATTGCTCTTTTATGGCCAAATCCAAGATGGCCAGTAGCCTCCATGGAATATCTTGGAAAACAATACAAAACTATAGTTGTGTAACTAAACTTAGTGTAGGCCTAGTGGCATTTTGCTCAAATTAGAGAACATTATTTAAACTTAATGTTCACCGTACAGGCACAAGCCGCAAGCGAGTGTGGAAAGTTTCTCAAGTGCAGCAAAGGCTTTTTTGCATGTGCGTTACACATTATAATTTTCCTACAGTTACTATAAAGCGTAGATAATTAGGCCTAGTCTTGCAAACACTTTACAACACGTTTTAGGTTAGTTTAACGAAATGGGAAACTCTGCACCAGCTGAATCATAGTCGCTGTATCTTTTTGTTGCCAACATTTTCAAGCACACATGTATTACGTGCCTAACAAAAGCACAACGTTTTGTGTTTGGTTGGAATATCCTACTGGAGTGCGGCAAAAGTAAGTAAGTTAAATCACAGAAAACACTACTTTAACCCAGAATGCCAACCGCATGGTAAAAAGCGTTAAGTAGGCTACATTGAGAGAGTTTTGCCTGTCAATTCGTAGGCAGCGCCACCAGCGTTGCTATGCACTCAGCATAGCACTTATTACTAACTTTATAATAATAACCCACTTTATACTAACTCCACTTTATAGATGTGTAGATATTCAGCACTCCTACCCATGTCACCTAATAACCGAGTATCTTTGTGTTTCAGCCGGGCTACAACCAACCATCCCCAGCCCGGTGAAGGCTCGCCATACAAGCCTCAACGTCCCCCTGCTGCACCCCCCTCTCCAGCCAACTATGCCAACTACCCGCCAACCCATAACTCCATGCGGTATGTGCAGCAGCAGTCGCCGTACGGTACTGCGGTACCCTACAGGGATAACCCGTACACCGTCCCAACACCGGCAAGTATTTTGTTTAGTTTTAAAAAGGCATTTTACCAAGTGAAATATATGTACAGTATAGCTCCACAAACTGAGTGCAATGTGGATCCGGATATTTAAGAGTTGCAACAATATAATATATTTAAGAGTTATTTAAGATATTTAAGAGTTCGATATGCAACAATTTGAAAGATTTTATGATCGGTTACAGGTAAATCTAGCTTTAATTCCTCTTTTCCTCTAAAGTCCTTTCAAACTACTATTTGACTTAACACTTATCATTCACCCCATTTAGCTATTACCGTAAAAATGGTGGTTGTAACTATAAAACAGAAGATACTCTCTCTTATTCTTAGGTTAAGTTTGGTTTTTCTAAAGTTAGGCATGACCTAATGAACTATAACTATAATTTAGAAATGCAGCCATTCTTTCAACTTACTGTGGTACTTTGGGCTCTACTTCTAAACCAAATAAGATACGCGAAAATGTAGTACTTTTCAGATCAGGAAGAAAATACAGTAACATGAAAAAGCAAAACCTAATGTAAATTGATAAAAGAGTTAACAGGTGTAAAGCTAAAAGGTAGCTTTAATTGTAGACCTATTAAGAAATGAAAATGGGCAAGTGATTGACAACCTCAATGAGTTAACGAATAGCCTACCTTAATAATTTTTTTTTTGCGAGTGGCTAATGATTTGAGAAACAAAATTTAATTTGATAAGACAAACATCAATTTTGTGTTTGACTCTTACAGGAATAACTTTGTAAGGTATAGTTTTAATTATATTAAGAATTAAACTATCACAACCTGATGCTTTGTTATTACTTAATTAATTTATAATTTTGATTATTTTCTCCTCACACGTTGGGTAGAGGAAAATTTGATCTTAATTAGAGGTCCTTTAAATAACACCTAATTAAGATTAAATTTTCCTCTACCCAACGTGTGAGGAGAAAATAATCAAAATTATAAATTACAAATTCAGGGACACCCTGTATAAGCAAAATGTCCTCACAATATAACATATCTTGCCCCATGTTTCATAATGCTTTGATTGTTCTTACAGCAAACTGTGGTGAACGAACGGCAACAGGCGGTGGAGTTTGTGAGGAGTGACAACATGGCGCCTCAGGTTCGACCAAGAATCTCGCTGCTTACCAACATGCCCACTACACCTGAGTACCTGCCGCCTATGTCTAGGAATAGGATTCAACCGTAAGTCTATACTGATTGTCCAACTGTAAGTCTGATCTGACTGACTAGAGCTTATCTTCTTGTGTGGGAAAAGGATCCATGTAAACGTCTTAAACTGTTTGTAAGTGAATAGGATCCACTTGTGAATCTGAACTGGTTGTGTAGGAATAGGATTCAACCATAAATCTAATTGTTCAAGAATAGGATCATACTGTAAGTTGAAAATAGCCTAGAGGATTCAGATGTTGGGTTATCCAATCATTCACTATAGAATCAGACATCCTTTTACCATGTAAACCCTTCACGGCAGTTTGCTTAGCCTTCCGTTACATGTAAAAAGTACGGTTTGACGAGAACTGCTCATCATGAGGCAACTTAGTAGATGGCATAACCTGACAGCTAGTCAAAGAACTATTTTGAACTACAGTAGACTCCTTCTTATCCGGACTACTCGGGACTCAGGCCAGTCCAGATAACCCGGTTAAACAGACGTCCCGAAAAACTCATTAAAACGGACCGTTAAAATGCATACTGTTTATAGAATTTGACTTTTATTTAGGAGGGCATTGTATTTAGACATGTTATCACTAGTCTAAAATCTTTCCCACGAGAACAGTCGTTTCAGTAGCGCCCATTTCCTGCCGGTCTCTTCCGGTTAAACCGATGTGCTGATAAAAATTGTCCGGTTAAAGAGATGTAATTTCGTCCAAGTGTAGTCCGGTTAAACCGATGTCCGGTTAAACGGTGTCCAGATAAGAGGGAGTCTGCTGTATTCATATTTTAAAGGAATTTAAGAATTTTCTCAGCTCTTTCAACTAAGTTAGGTACACAAGTTGGTTCTATGATATTCAATAGCTTTAAAAAGTTATAAGGTTTACCAAAAGGGTGCAGCACTATTTTTTTTTCATCTGTTAAAAGGTGTCCGGACAAGAGGGAGTCTACTGTACTTTAGTATTTTTATATAGCACATAGTCCATTAGTTGCTTAATCTTTTACAGCTCTTTCCAACCATAGTGAGAGCTATATAGATTGTTGTTTTCAAATAAGAAAACTATGAAAGGCTGACACTGTGGTAGTTTATGAACCCTTTAGAGAACCATTTTGATCCTTAAATTAGTTGGTCCTTAGGTATTTTTGAATTCTATTTCGATCTTGAAATTATATTAATTTATTCATAACTAGCACACTAGCCGAACAGCAAAGGGATAAATGAGAGATGGTTTGGTGTGTGACACACTTTGGTGAATCCTACACCATAGGTCTCAACCTCTAAACAAAGAAAATAACTCTTGTACTAGCCACTACCATCTAACAAGATGCTGAATGGTTTAGCATCAGGAACCAGACGGGGATTTCCATTGCATGGGCCTTCAGGGTTTTCGTCACCGATTTTGACACTGTCTATGCATCCATCATTGCACAGAACATGACACCAATCCGAGGTCTCGGATGACATCCATACCCAGAATCATGTCTTTGGTGAGAGTGGGGAAGTACAAGGCATCTCATATCCATAATCGTCTTCCCGCAGCTTGTCCTGCTAGCCGAAACGAATACTCTGCTGTTGACCGTGTCCCATCTGCCATCCTCAGAGGAGCGGTTTGCTTACACGGCTCTACACCCTGGCGCTGAAGATGGTCGGCGACTCCTCGCCCAACCAAGCTGACGACAGACCCAGTGTCCAATAACATCACAAAAACGCTGGTCATCAGCACAACTTAAACGAAGGGTCTTGAGTTCAAAGTTAACCGGTCCTCATCCACACCACCAACCAGGCTGTTTAGCTTTCTAAGCCACTCGGACCACTCTTCTGAGGTCGTTCGTGTTGAGTGGCCTTGCCTAGTTGACCTCCTGATGTCTGAGCTGGCCTGCCGTTTCCCGAACGACATCCACACTGGTTCACAGTAAAACCAGGTTTCCCACATCCAAAACTGGAGACGGTCCTTGGTTTGCCACATCCTCTGGCAACGTGACCAGTCTCCTGGTACCTAAAGCACCGTACATCAGTCACTTTCCTTGTCATTGCGGGCCTTCGTACACGGGCCTCGATCGAGTACGAACCAACCTGCTGCCCAACTGACTTGGCTTCAGGAGAGGGTCTCTCAAAATTACCTCTTTTGAATGTGACAGTCTCAAGAGTCTTCTCAGCTTTCTTCCTGGGAACGTAGGCAGTTTCCAAAACCAGCGCTACGTTTGGTGAAGGAGAAGGTCGGAAGGCTGCCTTCTCGCGCAGATAGGCCTCATACTCTTCAGCCAACTCAACCATTTCAGCCAGGTTGCTGAAGTCACGCTGGCGCAATATGAGTTTATACTAAGGCCACATGTTGTTGTAGATCACGTCCAATCTACTATGCTCTGACAACGTTCCGCTCCGCCTGAGCAGGGGTCATTATGGCGACGATGTAGTCTCGGAAGTGGTCGCCCTCACCCTGTCTCCTTTTCCGGATCTCCTCATCCAAATTCCTCCGATAACCAGGTGTGAGGAACTGGATCTCAAATTGACGCCGGAAAGCTTCAAAGGAATACAGGAAGATCTTGCAGTTCCTGTACCAAAGAAGTGTTGAACCTTGCAGCAGCTCCGTTAGCGCTCTGAGCAGGTCCTTTGATGATATAGAGTAGGATACCACCAGCTCTTCTAGGCGCTCGAGGATTGACACAGAGTCTCGTCGGCCGTCAAACCTTAAACCCCACTTTCGGACTGTGTTGCATACTTGGAACAATTCTTCGGCTCCACCCTGCTGGGCTCATTCCAAAGCTTATCTGAGCCTCGTGGCACCTGGTTTGTCGGGCCTCGGTAGTTAACGGTAATATAATTAACTCTTGTAACAACGCAAAATAATATTTACCAAAGTCGATAAAATATATTATTTGTGCTTTAGAGAATGCTCAGAACCGTCAGGAATATACGTATAGTATTTTTCCTGACAGCTGTAAATCCTAGCTACTGTATCTGGATTATACCAGCACGGTTACAACTAGACCAATAAAATTTGAGATGAATATTATCCAGATCAAATATCAACTCTTAAACCAAAATTAAAAGAACGTCGTCACTCACCACTAGCGGGTCACTACCCAACACAAACTCCAACACTCACTGTACCAATATCACCACGACACCGATGTCACCAAATCACTCGACGTCTCTCTAGACCAATTCACAAACCCGCTGTTCACTCACACTCGGCCATGACTCGAATGTCTCTCGCTAGGCCTAGGATACCCTAGGCTTATTGGAACTGATAAGCCGGGTCAAAGGGCGCTAGCTAGCTTCGCCGCCGCCGCTTGTTGATGACAACAAAAGGTGCACAGCCAAATAACAAAAACTTACCCCAATAGGGAAAAAGGCTCGTTACAGGTGCGATTCGGGCAAACTACTTTATTAGGGTCTGGTGGCTGTCAAGAAAATCTTGCCTTGAAGTGTTAACAATGTTTATAGTTTTTGGACATGTAGCTACTGACAGAGTGTGCTATGGACCGTGCTATGGACCTCTGTTGGAATTTGCAAATCATGTTGAATTTAAGTAACCAAAATGTTATGACAGCAAAGTTGTCAGTAAATATTAATATTCAAAAACAAACAAAATAATTTAACTATTTTACTACTGGCCTTTGGATTGTTTGAATTAGCTAATAAAGGTTAAAGTTTTAAATCACCTGGTTATTGTCAAATTTATCTTGAGTAGTTTAACGACTAATAGTAGTTTACGCAACGATTGCGTTAAGTGAGTCTTTACGACACGAGTAGAAAATTTAAGGCACGAGCCTTGGCGAGTGCCTTAAAAACTTCTACGAGTGTCGTAAAGACTATTAACGCGAGTTGCGTACACTTCTTTACCTACGAACGTTTTTTAATTACTATCAATCTGGATTTAAATACTAACAACCACTACTGATAACTTTTTAGAGAGGTTATGTTTTCGTGTATTGTCATTGCCACTGAAAGTAATGTAACCACTTGTTGTATAATCAGCTGATTTCCTGTAATTACGTGTTTGTTAAACTTCGTTAAATATTACATTGCTAGCAGCATTCTTACCATAAATAATATTGTATCAGGTACAATTCGGCAAATATTTCATTTATTTTTGGACTTCCACCAACTTAATTAAGAATACGCGAGTATCAACATGAACAAGTCGGATCAACAATTAAATTGGTCAACTGATCAGCTGATCAGCTGATTAGTTGACATTCGAAGCATTACAATTTTAATTATTTTCTCTCAATACTTGAACCTCATTGGTCCGTTACCTGTGTGGATATGAGAAAACTATGCGGATATGAAATGAAACTATGCGGATATGAAAGTAAACAGCTGTAAAGTGAAACTTTTCAATTCTAAGATCTGGACTGAAATGGCTACTTTAAAAAACGGTCGTAGGTAAAAGTGTTTTGTGCCACAAATGGAGCACATCACCAGGTCTGAATGTCAGCTATTGTATTTACAAATTACTCATGGTGTAGTTTATCAGAAGTTTTAAATAACACAGAACCTACAAGACATAATACGAAACACACACAAAACGAAACATTTAAAAAACTGATAGACCAGAAAGTCTACACACGTGATATGGCTCAGGTGGAGGGTAAGTCACAACTTACGTGTATAGTAGATGCTGTCCTGAACTGACAATTGTAAACTTGTTCTTCATATCTCTGACCCGTATCATTGCACAGGACTATCGTATTGTCCTGTATTCAAATCACATTTTCATTTTTAATTTATTGCCCATTTTAATTAGTTTCAGATACAAAAATGTCTAATACTTGAGCAATTTTGATTCAGTTGCTTCACTCTTATCAAGGAATTAACCATGTAAACATAAATATAGGGTTTTATCGAAGTACCAGATTCAATTAAAGTACCATTTTGCTCAGCCAAGCAAACTAATTTTCATATCTGGTTTTCAGTGGCGAGCAGTATCGGGAGAGGGAAAGAATCATCGACTTGGTTACACCAGCACCAAGGTATGATAGTATGAATAATTCAATTTAACACCAAGTAATAAATAGTACAGTAACAAAAGACAAGCACAGTTACTGATTTGATATATTCAATATAAATGCAAATTTTGATTCTAACATTGCTAACAGCCTTGCAGTACTGGTGAAGATCAGGTCATGTGCTCTACGAACACCTTAATAATAATAATTACCCATCTGCACCATCCTTTAAACATTTCTTACTTTCATCCTTAATGAGTGGACACTAATCAAATTAAAATATATGTTTTATTTCATAAAATTGTACATCGGGTACAGTATATAGAATAAAAAATACTAGTTTGGTTTTTTAGCTTATATCCAAACTATAAAAACATACGTTTGTCAAACTGATTACTGAACTATTGGTTAGGACAGTGTTAATAGTCCCCTTTGGATTTCAAGGAATAATGATCTAGTTTCAATTTCTGACTGACTCTGCAAACAAAAGTACTAAATTGAAAAAGAAAATTTAATTTTTTTAACTGTTGCAATGCGTTTTATCACAGTGTATTATTAAAATACAATAAATATATCAATCTTTTACAATTAACAACTTATAAAGACTTACATGAAGCACTTTAATCACTGCTTTTAAATAGTGAACTAATAAAACCCACTTGCTTTTTAAGTCTGAATGATATGGCTACTGAATAGTAACAATTTTTTGTCTTCATTAAAAATAATAAAGACTAACAAGGCATCAGAAATTGGTGTCATAAATTAAAAATTATTTATTTATTAGGCATTGCACAGGTTTATCATAACCCTCTGGCTTATTTGTTCGATATCTTATTCTTCTGATTCATTTACATAAAAGAAACTCTACCCACCGTAAGGTTGCTGGAACTGTTGGTTCTGTAGGTCCGGAAATATATTTTTTAATTAAAGTGTAATTTAAAACTAAAAGGGACTAACATTTATTTTACAACTTATGTTTATTAATTACAAATGTTTATTGTAAATAAACATTTGGTTTAGTCAAGACTTTATTTTTATAAACTCTCCTCAAATCACTCCAGTTTTTGAGTGGTCTATCAAAATTACTAAACAATATAATAATATCCATCTGAGCAGCTGTTGGACTTTATCTGGCTGTTTGTGTCCCACGAGTGATTGCAACTGACTTCAAGTAGAAATAGGAGACTTTCCTTTCATTGCAGTAATTTTTTCCTTATTTAGAGTTATCGATATTTCGGATTAAAACCGGCCACGACCAAGTTGGATAAGTGGAAAGGTCGGAAAATAGTAAAATCCATTATTAACCCGCTAAATGTTATTAAATGAATACTTTCTCTGTTGTAATACCAATTCAAGGCTTTAAGTGTTCCGTTACATTTTATTGAAACCCCTAACTAATTGTTTTTGTTTTGATGTTATCATCACAAATAAAATGAAAAATAGGAAAACAAAATTCTCGTTTACTTAGCCAAAAGTTTCAAATCACATTATCACTATGACTTGAGAGTTAGCAGAGAAGTATCCAGAAGTATGAGAATTTGACGAGTTGTGTGGTATGCTGTGTGCTAAAACAAGAAAGGACAGGTACCATAAACAGGTATCTCTCAAACAAAGGTACTGTCTCGCCTCACCATGTACAATTGTGTCTCATGGAATGTTACAGTAGCCAATGCATGGGGGGTTAAGTGTCATAGAAGGTTTGATAACTGATGATCAGAAAATGGACATTCTTCTGTACCTAATATATTATTCAATCACTTGCTTAAAACACGTATGAAGTTAATAAAACTGTTGCAATTTTAAATTTGAGCATACATACAATTGACAGCGGGGGTGTGGACAGTGTGTCACAGCGTGTGTAGGCGAGTCATAGTCTCACGCTACGTATCTGTTGTTACAGTGCATCCTCCTATCACTTGAGAGTCAGGGATCTTGAGTCTATGACTCTTACGACTATGGACAGGCTCGTCAGGTGAGATTCTTGTTAGTTACTGTTGGATGTTTCCCAGCATGAGGCTATTTCTACACATGTTCTTTCTCTTCAGTCTACGCTGACTCGGCTCTGAGCTCCATCCATCGAAAGGATCACAACTTGGGTTCAATCTATGGTCTCTAGTCTGTGCTTATCTTTTGCTTTTGGTGTTTTCAACTTTGATTTAAATTAAGGATTTCTACATTGTTTTTGCTGAATTATCTGGTGTTATTCCACTAAATTTGCAGAGGTGCTATGAGTTTTCATGGTGATTTTATTTCGTTGTACTTAATCATCTGATATCGTAATTTTGATATGTGTTTGATGTTCTTGTTTAATCTCCTCTTACATTTCCTTGTATTAATATCTCAGTAGTTACTATCACATAATTTTAACTGAAGGCTTATTCATTATACTTTGTTACTTTACCTGGCAAAATTAACCAATACATTTTAGAAAAGTAAGAAACTAATTTTGATGTTAACCATCTGGGAAACCTCATAAATTATAGTAAATTATTTCTCTACATTAAACCTAAATAATTTGACTATCTCTATATTCTCTAACAGATTATTGCTGACATCAAAATCCCACTTCCTTGATTTCTTGTACACTTGCTTGCATTCTTACTTACTTGTCATACTACTATTGTAAGTGTCTACTTGTACTATTTTGATACTATCTTGTTTTGTTCGGGTTTTTGTTTTTACTGTACTTGTGGTTAACTACCTGTTCTTGGTTTCTATTGTGGTTTTCCAGCTTTGGCTGGGGCTTTGTAGCCTACTTTATTTATAATGTTTCAAATACTTCCCCACCTGAGGACGGGGTCAGATTCCAGATCCTAAAACATTGGAAAAAAATATTTGTTTACCATTCGTGATGGGAAATGTTACCAATTAATCTGTTAGATAATGTAAAATCACCAACACCATGAAATTTGTCTTTAGAAATTTGTGACTAAGGAAGTGATACTTTACCTCCTTCTGTTTTTACTATCACATTTACACTTTTTTTCTGTGAAAATCTACCAACTCTTCAACTGTAATTAATAAATGTAAAGTTTTATACTCGTTTTGTTTTCACTAAGAAAACTAGATTGTCATGGTTCAGGGATAGGTGGAAGTGTAGGGTCGCGTCTTGACTTGTCGGTATGTTACAGAAGAAAGGCGAGCAAGGAATCCCGGCAAAGGAATTACACAAATGACGTGTATTACTACAATGACTTCTATTACAACCTAATGATGAGGTACATGTTAGGTTGCTGTTGGATGTTGACTATCTTCACTGTTGATGTTCTCAGCTGGTGCATGTATGATGCACGATTTCTGGACATCACCTTGGCACTGTCTTCAATGGAATTGACATTTGAGAGGAAACACTCTTATTGGCGTCATTGTATTTATGTCGATCGCTTTCAAAAATCTTACAACGTAGGCCATTAAGTGGTTTCATCGCTTTTTGTGTTAGCGTAGGTGTTATTTATGTACATTTTAACCCCTTAACTGCCATATCAGTTCACATTTACGGCCCATATTGTAACTCACGCAGCTCTCAGTGTTATTTTAAATTATTAAATAATTTATATTTTATCTACTACAGTTTTATTGAAATCACATTTATATTTTATCTACTACAGTTATATTGAAATCACAAAGTATTCAAATCCAACATTGTCATCTCATTGCTGTTAAACTAAAAGTCTTACATAATTCCCTTGGATCAAGAAGTATATTTTAATGTTACAGCAGGTGTCACATGGTTGATAGCTTCTGCATACTACAAGAAAATAACTGTCGGATTGAGAAATTTTACCTTCAAATACGCTGTCATTTAATTCCTTAATATTACTAGCATTTTTATTGTTTTACGTATTATTTTGTGTAAGGCGCATGTTTGCAACACTCGGTATATAATATAGAAAATAGTTTGAGCACATAATGTGTTAATTGAAATTAAATAGCCTAAAAATGTGACATTGCAAATTATTTGTACTTTTGTGAGAAAAAAAACCAAAATACTTGGATACCAAAATTTAACTAATCCAAACTAGGTTACTCACTAACCATGTATTTAGCATTACAGCAAATCAAAACACAGTTATGTTAACTGTTGTATGATGTCACTAATCATTATAACCACTGGCCAAGTGACCCAAATATACTTAAATATGCATCGTCAGTCCATTTTAAAGCAGCCAGCAGTTGTATATATGACAGCAGTCTTTGACCATAGATTGGCCATCGTCTATATGTGTTGATAACCTATACAAAAAATTTTGTATTATTTTGGTAACAAACATTTGAAAAAAAGTAGTTTCTATTAGGATGAAAAAAGTTAAATAGCAAAACATACCTCTGGTGTTTATCAGCCATCTGGTCTTGACTTATCTATTGTGAAATCATCATTAAAGTTGCAATATCAGAATGTGACTATAGGCAGGTTCACTCTGTGTTCGAGGTAGGTTGGTGTCAAAGCGCTGCAGATCGATAGGTGACTTACTAGGCAGTTAAGGGATTAATAAACAAATGTAAAATCTACTTAGAAACTGTTGTATCTTACAATATGTTAAGATCAATCAAATCTTCAATATTTTTACCTAAAGTTCTAGCAAGAAGTTTTTTTTATAAAGCATTTGGATCTTAAAGATGGCCGCGGTTTGCATGTGACGTGCTATAGGCCTGAGAGATAATTGCCCCTCTCCTACTGTAAAGGAAAATTTATCTCTTTGTTGCGCCCCTGGGCCTGGGCCCTTTTTCGGAAGCGATCTTGATATTAAACCGACACATGAATCAATTTTCCACTAGTAGTGAAATGTTGTATTACCATGAGTTATAATTATGCACTACTTTCTTTACTAATATCAATGTTAAAGATTTTGGCGGAAACAGTAACCTTTTCAGTTTTTCACTAATCTAATATAGGGTTTTTAAATCATTACTCGTATTTTATCTTAAGCTACCCAAACATTAGGTCAATTACTATGTCAAACATGTTTTTTTTAATCATACCTACAACTTATCTCCAGTAATAGATCGTTACTTCAACAAAGAAATTATTTCATCGTTAAAGTCCCTCAAGCTTAACATAACAATAACCAATAATACTATAAGGTGTTAAGGGCTGTGAGAATAGATAATGAGGATTGTGTTACATAACAGAAATTAATGGATAAGAAGATGTGTCATAGTTGTAGGGGAGAGAGCTTGTGAAGCATCATATGTTTTAGATACAACAGTCTTCTGTACATGTGTGACCTCTATGTAAACATAAGATGCCTTTGTTGTTAAATGTATAACTGCACCTTCTATGATCCTCTACAAATCCTCATTGTTAAAAGCTGTGTATCATCTAATTCACAAAGATTAGCAACATATGTAACATTCATGGTTTTCTAGCTTTTTCCTGGTCGTTGTGCTGTTTCATTACTTTAACCGTCATCCTTATAGTAATAAATTGTAAAATTTTTATTTGTAAGACTTACGTTAATTCCATTTTTAGGGGAGAGCAATACCGAGACCGTGAAAGAGAAAGAGAGCGAGAACGTGAGAGGGATCGTGATTGTGTTGTTGTTCCTTCTACTCAAACCAGCACCATGCAAGATCTGGGCCCTTCAGTGAAGAAGATTCGTCTAGGTGAACCGAAACCCGAGCTCCAACAACAGCTCAGGATAGAGACCAGACAGGTACTTATATTATCTCTGTGTAAATTATTCGGGAGTAGTTGACATGACGTTTGTCAAGTGTGCATTTATTGATATTCACATAATCCAAACATAGACCATGTGTAGAAATCTATCTTAAGCCCGGTTTACACGACCCAATCTCGTGTAAGGATCTTGGGACCCTAAGTCAGGCCCGATCGAAGTCGGTCCTGAAATCCGATCATGTAAACCCGTGCTCCTGATCACGATTTAGCTGGTGACCAGATAGGGAGGTCACGAGAGATTTCTATCGGATTTATGGACGAAAAGTGGGGTAACACACTTCAGCTGAGAACGGGACGTAAAAATCCAAAATTCTTCACTGTTTCCCGCATAACTACTTTTTTTTTATTTGTGGTCACCATATTGAGGAAATCAGTTAAAACCGTGAGTGTCATACGTGAGAAATTCAGGAGGGCTGCAACATAAATAATAATAATAATAACATAAATAATAATATTTACCTATCCTAATATGGATAAATACTACTACTAACTCAATACACCACCTGACAATACACTTCTTTTATACCAAAACACTAACCTTTGATGAAAATTACCAAAGATAATAATGTAGCCGCACTGAAGACCTTACTTTGATTCCGGCGAGCAGAACGCAAACAACTTGTTTTTACAGTTACAACTAATGTGTTACCTGGATCTCAATATTGAAAGGCACCAAAACATAGAAATAGAACGTTTTCTCAGCTTCAAATAAGTTTGACTCACGTCACGCTATGTCAATTATCAATATTTTTATTAGTGATTTAGAAACTGCCATTGAAACAGCACTTTGGGTAAAATGGTTAGTTGACAAAACAGCTGATTTCAAAAATGTATTTCTCAGACTTCCTAACGTTTACGAAAATAAAGAACAGCTCATGTTCTTTCCAATGTTACAAACCAGAAAATAAATGTCCAAGCTGTTAACGGCGGTTGGACATCTCGTCTGAAACCGCTGCTTAAACAAGGGAAAGCAGTTCTAGCATTAAAGATAAAATTTTTTTTCCTGAAATTAGTCATATAAATAGACCATAGAGGTAGCTGCTTACCAGCAGGAGGCAGGAGGCTGTTGTTGATGTTATCAACAACAGCCCGTTCATCAGTCATAACCCGCATTTCATAAACAAGACAACGAATATGTCCAAAGACCACAAATGTAATAGAATAGACTATCTTGATTGATAATTTGTATTAATGATGCAATCTGTTGTTTTGTCTGTACAGGAACCTGCCCCAGCATACAATCCGCAGGTAGAAGCGATTTCACCCACAGGACCATCTGATAATGTCGTTGAAGACGCTAACTTTCGCTCCACCAAGGACGATCTCCTGCAGCAGATTAGCAAAGTCGACCGTGAGATCAGTAAGACGGAGTCTGCCATCCTCAAACTGAAGAAGAAGGAGCAGGAGTTGGCTGAGGCGGCCTGTCAGCCTGATGAGAAGAAGGACGAGGAGGAAGATCGGTCTCAGCAGCCAAAGCATCAGTCCTTGGCTCAGAAAATCTACGCAGAAAATCGGGTATGTGAACAGAAAAATATGATTAAAAGGAATGAAAAATTCTGTCAGAAGTTTGCCAGAACCTACTTTTCTTTTGTTTAGGATTATTAAAGCTTTTATAGGGATCAGCTAGCTTACCTGGTAAATATAGTTCAGATTAGCTTTGGTAACACACACCCAAACACAAAACAGTAAAACTTAATATTTCGTCCTTGTTAAGGAAAGAAGGGAGAAGAAAGAAGACTGAGTTAAGGTACTTTTGTTTATTCATTTTATTTTGTGTGTTTTACACCATTGGTGTTTTTTAAGTTTTCTATAAGGTAGTGGTCAAGACCCTGATATTTTTACCATCCAAAGCCGACCTTTAGTCAGATAGCATCATTTCATAAAAAATGAGACATCTGGTCGAGAATTGAGATCTTTTTTGGGATTTAAAAGCAACCTATACATTTGAAGGCAAGCACTGCAACCACTTGCCTAACCATAGTTTAAAAAGATGAATATATGTTATATTTTACTATACCTAATTGTTACAGAGGTTCATTATAAGGTGAATAATCTCAATATGTTCCTTACCAACCCCCACACTCCCCTGTATCTGAGGCCTTAGAATAGTTGGTACCTATGTGTTAATGTTTGGAATACATGTTATTTATGTAGTACATAATTTGGGATTGTAAAAATAGCAGTGAAAAATTAAAATAAGAAACCACAACTTGCATAAAAAGAGATATTAAAGCATGATAATTAAGTGCTGTTATTAACAATTATTTATTTTTGTTTTTCAGAGAAAAGCCCAGAAAGCTCATCTGGAAATGGAGAAATTAGGCCCAAAAGTGGATTTGGTATGTAGTGTTTCAATCTAATAAATTACCACCAAGGCCGTTTGTGCGTGTGCCTATAGCTTCTTAGTTCGTGTTTTTGCCACATCAAGGCTCCTCGCCCCTTACTGGCGCTAAAGTGGTTTAAATACTTGTAATGTTGATAATCCTAATGGTTGCGTTACAACTAGTTGAGTCATCTTCAGGTTTTTCAAGGACATTGTCGCTTCTTCTGAAGGTCCTCAAAGTTCGTAAATATTTACAAAACAAAGATCTAATTTAAAACACACAACACACGTGATTTGCCCTAGCTTTAACGATGCGACCTGTGGGAGATTACGTTTAGATTGCCGGGTACTGGCGTTATTTGCATGTAAATAGAAGAGTTGTCTTATGCAGATCTGTAGCTGTGACATGTGATTTTCCTGGCACACTTTGCTCGTGTGTCAGGAAAATCTTTTAAATTATTGTGTCATCTGCCATATTGTTGTGAAAATGTTCATTTCGGAAAGAATTTTTCTTTTGGTGAGTACCCAGAATTACACTCCCTAACCCATTTTCTTACTTAACCCTTACACATTACATACATCAGGGCCATAACCTTCAGTCATTTGACTCAATGAATATCGTCATTGGATATGTTTCTTTTGGTCAAAACCGTAGCACTGACCTTATCTTGTATGCGACGGGTTCATCAAACATAAACGTTACCTACAAAGCTGTAAATATCCCCATTCCAATGATGCTAGTAAACGGCAAGCAGCCTCGTTGCGGTGAACACACAAACTACGAAGCTATACACAAACACGGCTCTTAAAACTTCTTGTATTTCAATGATGATACACATTTTATTATACCCTAAGGATAAATGTGTTATTCTTTGGAAGCCTTCTTTAAATATTCCTATTTGCTTTTATCATATATCTGGATTCTTATGAAAATAACATCTGTACAAATTTAACTGATTGTATATTTTATTTTTGTTTTGGCAATATTAAAAGAAAAATATTGTTTTGTAAAAAGGGTAACTAATGGTATATGTAGTAATAAAAATCAAAAGTTTAAAGTAAAAAAAATCTGTTCCACTGTATATGTCACAATATTAGTAGTATATTGTTTGACCTTGTACTGTGTCTTTAAGCTCCCAGTCTTGAATTTTCTTTTACAATCTAGCTCAACTCTATCTCTTAAAAATAAATCATAATAACCCTCCAGGGTTCTAAGTTACAGACAATTTAAGGTCGGTATGGTACTTTTTTACCTTGGTTCTCGGTACGGTACACGGCTGCCAGTATTTTTGCCTTTTCCTTCTCAGGATTGTATTCAAACTATTATTTTAAATTGGAATACGTTGACATTACTATGAAAATGGATGGTATATCCTAAATTGATGGTTTTCTAACTAAAATTATTAAAGTAATACACATTATTAAAACCTTTTACTCCTATGTAATAGGAATTTTATCCTATGCGTTTTGTCAGATAAAGGCTTTACCTATACCTATTTTACTAAGTCATAGCCATGATAAAGTAGTTTTAATAATATTTAAGATATGTTTGAAGCAACAATTTAACAAGATAATTTTACACAACTCGTAATTTTTTCCCATCAAACACAATAACTGGGTGTTTGATTTAAACCTTTAAAAGCTTTCAGTACAAAGACAGTTGTAGTTGCCAGCTATTCACATTCAACAGACGACAATGAAAGACAGGAGGTTATGGTATAGTATGATATAGTAAAGGCAAAGAGCAAAAACACCAACTTATATTAGCAAGTCTATAATGATATTAATTGCAAATGTTCCACAATTTCTTCAATAATACTGTTCCGGTTATAAACGCTATAAATAATATGTTAATAAAAGTATTGTAGCAAAACAATTTTATATCTGAACTTAATACACTGTTATTCCATGTAAAGAGAATTATAACAGATGGGATTATGACCAATGAGTCACTCCTTCCTGAGGAGTATGTTTAATCTATGAAGAAGGCTGTTAAGTGTAGTTCTAACCCCATCAGCTGACTTTGTCCATGCTTAGCAATCTGCGAACTGATTGTTTCCCTGTTTCTTATTATATTTATCAGTTGTCTTATAAAATTTGATGATGTTTTAATTCACATACAAACTAAAATAACATGAACAAGGAAATATAATGAAACAACAAACATAATAATACTGTGAATGTATTTAATATTAAATATTTCTTTGATAACCCATTTAAACAACTCTTGCTTACTTAACGACTGCTTGCCGTCTGCTCACATTATGTGACAACTACATTAATCCATTGTGCGATCTGGCTTGTCTAATTAGTTTTATGGCTTGACTTGAGAAAAACTATTTTTTGGCTACGATAGTGAATTGAATTAATTAATTTACTATAGGCTTTACCAAACCGAATTTGTACTGAGAAAAATGCTGTACCGAACCGATGGCGCTTATTAGGCCAGATACCGACTTTTTCGGTGCACCCCTATAATCCTCATTGCTTTTATTTCAAATTTATCCTTTATGTTGTTTTTATAATGTGTTATAACCATGAAATTTATGAAAATAAGAGAATAATATCTAATAAAATTTGTTTTTTTTTTCAGCCACTCTATAATCAACCCTCAGATACGGCTGTGTACCATGAAAATAAGAGAAGGTAAATGTCTTGTCTGTTCATATTGATGTGGAATTCAGCTCAGTAGTGTATATGTCCAGTCCATCAAACACCACTGTCATAACTCTACATTTAACATATTTCTTATATTTAAGACTGCCATAACAAGTTGTTATCACAGTTGTTGTGTTTGCAAACTGGCTTTAAAAAACTCAGGAGTTACTTGCAAGCCAAAAGGCAGTCTTGAATACTAAAAGTTGCCTATATGCAAACTAAGCAGTACAAACTGTACAACATCCGGAGTGAAAAAACCATGATTTTATTTTAAAATTAATACCAGGATTGTGGGTGACGATGATGGTGTCCCTGTGATTACAGGAAATGTTTACAATGTTCTTGTGATCGCGGGAGATGGTAACGATTTGGCCCCGATCGCGAGGAGGTTCCACATAAACAAAAGGTGCTCGGTTTAATTTGGCCTAAGGCTGCAAGGACTCTACATAGGGCACTGAGTTTCAGGCAGTTAACAGGAACTCAGCTTGCTTTTTGCCTCAGCTAATTAACCTTCAGCTACTTACACGTTCTAGATATGCAAGACACCAATAACCGTCTTGATTGATTATGCTAAAACAGGAGCGCTGCTGAATTGATTTTTGGCAGCATTTAAAACAAGCACATCAACAATGTAGATAGTTAACTCACCCTATACTCTTGTCTAAGCCTAGTCCAGTTCACGATATTTTTGGATTCGATGTTTCATCAGCCTTTCAATACAATAAACACTAAATTTCACTTTTTATTAAAACTAACATTCAGATTGTCATTAAAAAACTAATACAATTCAGTGTTACGGAAAAACATCGATATTTCGACAGTTGGCCAAAAAACATCGATGTTCGATGAAAACATCGATATTGATGTAAAATATCTAACATCGATAGAAAAAACATCAATGTTTCAAAAACATCAACTATTGATGCTTATCCCTAGTACACAACATTTCTCTTGGTTGTATTTTTTTTTAAAGTTCAGATATCACTGAATATTTTTCTTGAGTGTAAAATGTTTGATATGATAGGTTATGTACCTTTTTGTCCGTCCTCAGTCTTTAATTTAGTCAAGTCACTCATAGGCCTATCTGAATCTAATAAAAATTTTACTTAAAACTTTTTTGCCTTCAAGACTGATGTATGAATAATATGATAGTTTACGTATCATTTTGTCAATCTTTGTTTAGTCAATCAAGAGTGATTAGTTTCGGGTCAGTGACCTATTTTCAAACCCACATCAAATTGGATGGTCCAGGAATCCGACGAAAGTCTTCGTTATAACATATAGAAACACGTTCTTGACAGAAATTGTGAACTTTATGTATCGACGTGTGTCTATGTGTTGCAACGAATCCTTCCATTGGAAGCCTAATGGCGTGATTATTACTTCATTCTTTTTTAAGCCTCACTGGCTTTCAAGATCAACAAAATCAATTTTTAAAAGAGTTACGACCACATTGTCACTAATAAGGATTGTCCGAGAACAAAGTTCATTATTTTAAGTAGTCTAATTACATCGTTTTCGTGCACTGAAAACAAACCTGTTAGTTTTGGCTTTCTCAGGAAACTTCTGGGCTTGTAATTATTTTGTTTTATCTTAGTTAAATGAAATAAATAAATAAAGAGTTACTCTATAAGCAAGCGTCTTTGAAAATAAATTTAAAAATTTTAGCTCACATTTATTATTCTATTAATTTAATTCACCCATGTTATTGCAGTCCCTTGAATTATTAGTTATCATTAATTTTTAGGCACGCCGCATTCAGAAAGAGGCTGTTAGACCATCTGCGTACTACAAAAGAGGAGAAGGAAACTAGAGAGAAAAACCTCACTCAAACTTACTCAAGAATGATGCAAGAGTGGCATCGGAAGATCGAGAAAGTAAGTGATGATAGGCTTTTAGCAGCCTTTGGTATGGGATAGATTCTGGTTGTTTAGGTCATTTTATCTAGAATATTTGATATTATGTTATGATTCTGTTATTATAGTTAATGTTTAAAAAGTAGGGTGAAACATTTAGTAAACAGCCGTCAACAGACTTTACCTTTATACATTTTGATAATTGATTGTAGGCTGAATCTAGAGCTATTTGAAAATGTTAACGATTGAAAAGCCACTATTAGGCTATAAGAACACAATTTACCAATAATGAACTCAATGATCTGCTAACTAGAAAAATGTTGTGCTTTAAACATGTCCCCAATTTTCTAGTTACAGTAGGACATCTGATTTCCGGGTTCAATTTTAATGGTCCTAAATTGATTTTAATGGTTAATCCGACTTCTCGAAAGTCAATATTCCTCATGGCTTACAGGCGAGCAGTTTTTATTTTCTACTCTATTCTGTTTCAGTTACAGTTTCTATTTTATTCCGTTTACTCATCAATTGAGGTAGTAGGCCTAGCTTCTAAACAAGGGTTGATTATTTTCAGTGTGGTTAGTTATTACAGTAATCGTTTTGCCTAAAACTCCATCTTTATTTACCAATAATTTTTGTCATCTGTATCAATAGTATTTTATATACCTACGTACTACTTTTCTGGTAACTAAATTTTCTATTAACTTTACTAACATAATACAAAAAATAAAAAATAAAATCCCAAAAGATATATAAACTCTACTTTTGATTACATTTATTGATATACATTATTATTAGGTTATCGTTATAATATGTTGGTTTATCTGGCCAAATTGTTATCTGGGCAGAGTCCCGGTCTCATATTGGCCGGATCAACTGTTGTCTTCACACTCAACTAAATATACAATACAAAGGCTCTTATATACACTTATTTTCATTTATTATAATCCCATAACGACTATTGAGCCTTCAAAATTAATTTGAAACATTTCACAGATTGAAAACTCAGCAAAGAGAAAGGCGAAGGATGCCAAAAATCGGGAATTCTTTGAGAAGGTGTTCCCTGAGCTGAGGAAGCAGAGAGAAGATCGGGAGAGGTTCAATAGAGTCGGGAACAGGATAAAGAGCGAGGCTGACCTGGAGGAAATCATGGACGGGCTTCAGGAACAAGAGGTGATATTGATCAACTTGTGCAATTTGTACTCTGGTGTTGCCTTTTCCCCTTATTTCATATGACTAGTTTCCTAACCTTCAATGTAGGAATATTACTACTGACCCACAATAATTTGGACCCCTCCAGTAATCAGACTTGATTCCATGACAAAAAAAATGAAGATATAATATCATAATATGTAATTATTTCATATTTAAGTACAGAACAATCTTTAATATGAAAGTTTATATATTATATTAATTACCTTACCTCCTTGGCCACTTAAACCTATGAAGGTTTTTGGCCTCGTCAACAAGTTGTTTCTACTGCTGCCGGGCTGTTGCTGAGTCCAGGGAGGCACCCATTCGGTGTAGATTAATACATTATATTTATTACTGTAACTAATAACTAATTATAGTCCTAACGAAATATAATCCTATAGTAGATACAGTTTAGGTTTAATTATCTTTAACAGTCCCCAAGCAATGGCCGTTCAATGCCATTTTTTCATGGAGACCCTAATATTTAGTTTAGTTTTCGAGTAGTTCCAATGGCGTGGACATGTAGGGTATCGTTAGTTCTGTTCATATAGTGCGTATTCTAAACTGTGGATGTTAATGTTCAGTATATTAATGCGTATTGTCAAGTGTGCATTTGCTTTCCTGTAGTTTTAATGTGATTGATTACCTGTATATTTACAGTACGGTCCACGAGAGTGCAGTTGAGGGAGGAGCCTATTTACAATGTTACTTTGAAGGAGCCAATGAGGACCACGCACTGTTGCCAAATCTAATAATACCAACTGATTTGAAAATATTGTTTAGAATATTTAAATTAGTGTCGAAAATTAGTGAACGGGCGATGTTGTAACGTCGTGCTAGTCCTGTCTTGCTATTGGCTGCCGCTTACTGCAGACTCGTGGCCCCTAGTGTAGTGTGTTTTCTTCTTTTAGAAGTGAGTGACATATGTAGGCTCCTAATAGAATTAGGGGATGTCGGTTTAACCGTAAAAACCATTATCTGGATGGCCTCAGTCCCAAGGAGTCCAGATAAGAGAGCGTCTACTGTATCCCTCTATTATAAGATATAAATAATTTATCATGTGAATTCATTTAAACTGCATTTAAAATATTGTTTAACTAATTAATTATCATTTAAATTAAGAACATCATTAATATTTTTACTGAAAGTTTAATATTCTTTGTTTACTTTTAGATGGAGGACAAGAAGATGAAATCCTACGCTGTGGTCCCCCCTCTACTTTTTGATGCCCGTCAACGTCGCTACGGCTACATCGATAACAATGGAAAAATCGAAGACCTAGCCGCAGAGTATAAAGAACATCAATTGTCGAATGTATGGACAAAAGAAGAAAAAGAAATCTTCAAAGAAAAGTTCCTCCAACACCCTAAAAACTTTGGTGTGATCGCGTCGTACCTAGACCGCAAAAGTGCTTGTGATTGTGTCCAATATTATTACCACAGTAAAAAAGAAGAAAACTACAAACGCCTTTTGCGTAAGTAATTAGAGTGGATATTGTGCATGAATTAAAAAACTAGTATCAAATTTTGGTTTAATGTTAACGGTAGACTCTTAATTAAATTACCATTGAACATTTGCCTATCAACCCTAAATAGGAAAGAGGTTTAGGTTTTGTTAGAACCGAGCAAGAAGAAGGTTCAGGTTTGTTGAAACCAAGCTCTATTTTTTTAATGGAAAATGAAATAGTCCTTCAACGCAAATTTGTTGTTTGCTCTTTGGATTTACAAATAAAGTGGACACCTAGCCTTTTTCACTCAGATCACAATAGCTATGCAGGTTTCAAATTTTTTCTTATTTTCAAATGCAGCTGTGCATTGTTTTCTTTGTTATTTTATTTAATCATAATAAAAAAAATTTAAATCAACGTGGTCGCGAGGCCCCCTCCCCCCACAAGTAGTCACATTCGCATATGTTAGCTTTTTGCGCTGCCACCAATACTTACACAGTATTACCTTCTTACACAGCATACCATAAGGATAATTACATACCGTATATAAAAGTATATTTATATAGGCCTATAAATATTCCTATATATATTCAATTCCAGGATGGTTCAAAATTAAGACAAACAAATGGTTCATAATGTATTTAAAAAGAAACATTAAATTAATTAAAATAGGTATTCTTAAGGCCATCAGCCGACAGTCCATATTAAGGCTATCTTAGGTTGAGGCCATCTTAAGATATTTTTGGGCATCAGGGTGTACAAAAATTAATGTTAACAGACATTGAGAGGCTGTTACTAACATAAACCTTTAACGGTAACATTTTTAGCCTTTATTATCATTTACCAAGGTGGTACATAAAAGACTAGGCAGTGACGTTAACTGCAAAATGAAAATGTAGCACAGACCTTAGGCGAAGCCTAAAATTAATATATTTAGTTAATATCGCGTACAGATATTCCTACAGCACTTTATTGCAGATTTATATTTATATTAAACAGTAAAAACTTACAATAAGGGGAAATTAAAGTTCGTCACAATCTCACACCACTATTACGTGTACACCGTCACACTCTCAAGGCGGGGGGGGGACACACTTGTCATACACCCTTCCGATCCGACTCCGATCATACTGTGGTACGACTGTCGGAGAGGGGAATGTTACTTAACTTTGAACGCGGCTGTTTACACCTCTCCGACACGCGTCACGTCATACTCCGATCCTACTCCGATTTTGACTCCGATCATGCACCGACACTGCAGTCTATTCGTTTGTCGGATGCAGGACGGGTTGTTTCTTAAAAATCACCTTTATTCTTAAGGTTTAAGAATAAATATAAGGTTTAAGATAAATATATGCCGATGCTTGATGTGAAATCTGTGCGTGCATACCTTCAATTTGAGACCTCGATCATGAAAATCGGACGGGTAGAAGAGCCAAACGAACTCGAGAGAGAAAACCCAATGTGCTTAATATATAATTGGCACTTAAGTAAACAACCTAACTTTCTTTCCATGCAGAATGAACCCAAATTCTTCGTTTTCCACTTTCTTCCTCTTCATCTAGACAAACCGCCATCATGGCTGAATCCCGAAGTCTAAAGTTTTTGAACATGTTTACCACCTTCTGCACGTAGTTTACAACAGACCGGCGAGTGTTGATCGACCGGTGGAGGAAATCGGAGATGGGTCGGAATCGTGTATGACATGTGTGCTCACCCCCTCCGATCCCGCACCGATCCTTCTGGAATCCCGCAAATCGGATCGTAGTAGGATCGGAAGAGTGTATGACAAGTGTGTCCCCGCCTTTACTCTAACTATACCAATGTCACTAACCAACTGTCACTGTAACTTGTAACTACTGTCACTGTCACTAACTGACTAAATACAACCGACTAAACACTAGGCCTACCGCCAGTGTTTTGCTATTATCCCATCAATAGGGGAACACTGGCGGTAGTGATTTGCAAACCTGTGATTTAGTCACAGTGATTTTGAAATCACAATGTGACCTGTTAGCCCTGTTAGACCTTGGATTGTTTTGTACAGCCATAGGTCGTAACTGTGATTTTTGCTCAGTGACAGAAAATGTGATTTTACCGAAATGACTCGTGTGCCACCGTCGCCTACCTGCTTGCGCACTTTTACAAACTCACAGGTCGTTGTCTAGGACCTCAGATTCAGAGAACCTGCAACCTGTCTTTACTTAGGCCTAACTGTGATTGTGATTCAGCCATCTTGAGTCACCCTCTAGCATTCTGCTATTTTTGTGTCTGACCAGTCAATTAGGTTGTGTTTACGTTCTAATTGAGTGACTATTGTGAGTTTGTTTGGTATGATAGAAACATTTTAATTGTGTAATAAAACATAAATTTTTAAGAACAATGGTTTTTTTAATTCTTGACAATTTTTGTTTACAAAAACAATACTGTACAGAGAAAAATGTTAAGAACTGTTGAAATAACCAATCAAAAGAATGATAGTTGAAACTTAATGACTTTAGTAAGCCTAAACTCAGAATTGACCTTCTAAGTAATGATATGTTACGCTAGAAGTAGAGCAGAATAGAAGCCAATAGGAAAATCACAATCACAGTTACTTCTCAGTTGCAATCACAGTTTGACCTGTGACTGTAAAATCACTGTTAGCCCCCCCCCCTTAAATCCGCCCCTGATGTTACTATTGTACATAATTTTTGTTGCAATTGCAGATGTTTTTAGGATATAAAGTTTGGAAACTTTCAGTAAGGCTATAAAAACTAAAAAACGTTCAGTAAACAGATTAATCAAATTATCCGTTTCCTTGGAATTACATTATCAAAGTAATTTATGTCATAATTTATAACCGTTAATAACAATTTCGCCTATTTTTATTGGATTCCTATAGGCCCAGATAACTAAAAGATGAATAATTACTCCCATGGAAGGTACAAAAATGTACCCTTTTCAATGTCATTTGAATATATGACATACTAGCAGAATAACCGTTCTTCGTACAAGTTGGCATATGAGTGTAAAATGCTTATTGCAGTTATACTTGTGCTTTGGGTTTGCAATGGGAGAGGACACGGTTTAAGAAAATTTGGTTATTTTAATTTACGGTGTGGGTGTACTATAGTATAGCACATATACCATAGCCATAATGTTCTACTACTGCACCTAAGCAATAGAAAAAAGTAAAGTTCTCACAGCTTTTTGTTGCTGTTTGGTTCAAATTAGCTGTTGTCATAAATGAAAAAAATAAATAAATAATAGTGCTGCACCCTGTTGGTAAACCTTAACTTTTTATTTGAATGCTATTGAATATCATAGAACCCACTTAGTTGAAAGAGCTGAGAAAATTCTTGAATTCCTATAAATATGAATATAGTAGACTCCCTCTTATCCAAACACCTTTTAACCAGACATAACCGGACTACACATGGCGGAAACTACATCTCTTTAACCGGACAATTTTTATCAGCACATTGGTTTAACATGACTAGATCGGCAGGAAATGGGCCGTACTGAAAAGACTGTTCTCGTGGGAATTATTTGAGACCAGTGATCACAAGTCTAAGTAAGATACTCTCCTAAATTTAAGTCAAATACTGTATACAGTATGTATTTTAACGATCCGTTTTAGCAAGTTTTTGGGGAACGTCGTTTTAACCAGAAAACCCGTTATCCGGACTGGCCTCGGTCCCGAGGAGTCTGCATAAGAGGGAGTCAACAGTACTCATAAGGTTAACATGGGAAACTCTGGAGCCACTGGGGCAGAGCCCAAAAGAGTTTTTCAGATAAGAATAAGTTAGTAGGCCTATTTATAATTACAGCATCTCTATCCTTTTTCAACGTATATAATTCTAATTTGTGTTGCACATATTTAAATCTATATTCAATCTGACTAACTAAGCAGGTTTGATGAGATGTACCCCCTCCCCATGCAGTAGAGTCATTCCACTTCAAATCACCCAAAAAATTTAGGTTATGAAACCCACCATCTCAGAATTTGATGATACTTTGTGAAAATGTTCATTCCTACGCCCTAAGTAAAAATACAAAAAATTACAAAGATACTGCTGATACTTTTTTTTGTATGAATTTTTTTCCGATACTTCGTTTTGACCATTTCGGGCCTCGGAATCGACAACCAAATGTAGCCTGGATGACCAAAAAATTTAATTATTCGCAAACCGTTTAAGATAACACTTTCAAATTTTTATGACAAGTTTCCTATGTCTTGAACATAAAAATAACTGTGTATAGGTCACTCTAGAGTATAATACAAATTTATAAAAATTACTATATATTTAAATTTAATTTTTTCAAATTTGACCGACGTGGATTGTGAAAAACGGCTATAACTTTTTTCTCCAACCAGCTAGAACAATTATTGTTTTTGCAGAATTTTCCTTAAGCTATGACCTGTTTGAAAATATAAAGATGTTAGTGGTTTTTCTATGTACAGATATTGTAAAAAAATAATTTTATTAAAATATTAATTAACGCTAAAAATTGAGTAACATATATCTTGTATCTTAAAAAAAAAAAATACTTACAAGAGTTTTTAGTTATGAAAGCTTAATTTACCTAAGTCCTGTAGTTCATTGACAATATTAAATTACATTTTTGAAGATTATTTGATATTTCCTTAAACAAATTTAAAGCTAAAAGCTAAAAGCTTTTGAGCGGTATACTACCTTGAAATGGTTGTAACAAAATAGTTGAATGTTACTTTATTATTGGCTAATTTACAGCTTGAGTAAATTTTATGACATGAGAGATAACACACATGACATAGTTATTTTAAAGTTTTTTCCTGTTTTTATATTGCCCGGCACATCCATCCGTAAAATAGTGCACCTTTGTGACTGATGGAAAACTGTATATCAGCCATTTCATCAATTTTCTTTGTATTGGACGGCACTAACAAAAGAGACATCACGATACAAGTTGTCACTAATAAAACAGTGATTTTAAACCTTTAGTTACAAACTTCAAAACTCAAACTTCAAAATTTGGTTATAACTTCAAAGTTCTGCCAAATTATCAAAATAACTATGCATGTATGTAATCTCTCATGTCATAAAATTTACTCAAATTGTTGTCCTTCCTGACTAGTATGCCATTGGTTCAGGTTTGATTCAGCCAGCTCTAAATCCTTAGTTGTAAAGTAATAGGTAACATAGACTAAGGAATTATTTTTATCCTCCTTAGTGGATTACTATGGTAGGTAATAAGTTCTAACCTGTAAAACTTGTTTGTGGAACACCAACTGAACATACAATATTACAAAGGGGATAAAACAGGAATTTTCTCTTTTTGGCCAGTAAAATTATTTACTAGGACCATATGGGTGCATGAATAGCCTACTAGTTCACAGTGTCTTCATCTTCATCTGAAGTATTCCTCACAAGAGCAAGGTACCAAAGGCAAAATCCCAAGCTAAATCTATAAAACGTCTCAAAGAAAACCTTTCTCCTAATTATGCAGTAATACTGATGGACTTTTTTATGATTCAAAATAAAATTCAGAGCTATCACTGGTCAAGAGGCGGTTGTACACTTCATCCCGTATGTGTTTATTTGGTGAGTGAGAGGGAACAAAAGGTTTCAAATTGCTGTTTTATTAGTGATGACTTGGATCGTGATGTCTCTTTTGTTAATGTCGTCCAAAGAAAACTGATGAAATGGCTGAAAGACAGTTTACCATCAGTCACAAAGGTGCACATTGTACTGATAGATGTGCCGGGCAATATAAAAACAGGAAAAACTTTAAAAATATTTTTGAGCATGAAAATGTTTTTGGGATTTATGCTAAGCACTCCTTTTATGCCACAAGCTGTGGTAAGTCAACCTGAGATGGTCTTGGTGGTACCATAAAACGCACACATCAAAAAGCAAGCCTTCATTGAGCTGTAAAGGCAAATCAGCTTTACAACCATGGATTTAGAGCTGGCCGAATCAAATCTGAACAAATGGCTACTAGTCAGGAAGGACTTCAAAATTCTCCCAAATCAAAATAACTATGTCACGTGTGTAATCTCTTATGTCATAAAATTTACTCAAGTTGTAAATTAGCCAATAATAAGGGAACATCGAACTATTTTGTTACAACGATTTCAAGGTAGTATACCGCTCAAAAGCTTTTAGCTTTAAATTTGTTTAAGGAAATATCAAATAATCTTCAAAAATGTAATTTAATATTGTCAAAGAACTACAGGACTTAGGTAAATTAAGCTTTCATAACTGCAAACTCTTGTAGGCTAAGTATTTTTTTTTTTTTTAAGATACAAGATATATGTTACTCAATTTTTAGCGTTAATTAATATTTTAATAAAAATATTTTTTTACTATATCTGTACATAGAAAAACCACTAACATCTTTATATTTTCAAACAGGTCATAGCTTAAGGAAAATTCTGCAAAAACAATAATTGTTCTAGCTGGTTGGAGAAAAAATTTATAGCCGTTTTTCACAATCCATGTCGGTCAAATTTGAAAAAATAAATTTAAATATATAATAATTTTAATAAATTTGTATTATACTCTAGAGTGACCTATACACAGTTATTTTTATGTTCAAGACATAGGAAACTTGTCATAAAAATTTGAAAGTGTTATCTTAAATGGTTTGCGAATAATTAAATTTTTTGGTCACCCAGGCTACATTTGGTTGTCGATTCCGAGGCCTGAAATGGTCAAAACAGTATATCGGAAAAAAATTCATATAAAAAAAAGTATCAGCAGTATCTTCAAAATATTTGGTATTTTTACTTAGGGCATAGGAATGAATGTTTTCACAAAGTTTCATCAAATTCTGAAATGGTGGGTTTCAAGACCCGGGTGATTTGACGTGGAATGACTCAGTAGTATTGTGATGTACATCTTCTGTTTTGTCTTGTTTATTAATTTTGTTCATATTTTATTGCACCTTTACATGCAACTAAAATTCAGTTAACTAAAATCAATTAGCATTTTATCTTTAGCAGTATTTAAAAGGCTGGATCTATATAGCAGTTAATGTTGCAGGAAAATCTCGGCAGCGAACAAGGTCGAGCCGCAATCCCCACGGGAAAGTGAACAACGCGAGTGGAGCAGGAGCTAGCACGAGTGGAGCACCTAACGATCCAATGGACTCCATCCTGAGCAGCGCTACCGGCGTGACCACTCGGCTGCAGCGAGAACAGTTGCAAAAGCAAGAACATCCGCCTGCCCCTCTGCCCCCTCCTGCCCCCAGTGAGACTCCGTCCATAACTCCCAACCCCATCTGTGATACTGTAGAGACTAAGGACAATAATCCGTCACCGACACCGCCACTGTTAACTGTCGCTGTCACTCCCCCATTAACAATATCCCTCAACAAAACATGTGCATCAGCCCCGCCCGAACTGACGACAGCTGCAAGGTTAGTACAGATCAGTACCAGTTAGTACTAATTGTGTTTGTTATTGGTAGCTGACTCACAGTATACGAGCTAATAAGCTGACCACTTTTCCCATATTGCATGTAGGCCTACACAGCTCCCGTAGCAATAGTTAATCTAAACATTGTAGTCATGTTGATGTCCGATGACATTATCAAAACCTCTCCATGTCCCCAAAAAAGTGTTGTCTTTTACATTTAGCCAACTGATCTCTGGAATTATTATTTTTTAAATATAATATTTCTGTGGCCTTGTGCCATAAGTCAGAAAGAAATACATACAGTTAAAACGTTAGATTCCATATATCATCAAGCTAACAGTAACAAACAGCAATGATTAGTGAAGATGATATAAATGTAATTATAGCCTAAGTGTAAAAACAGATTCAAAAACAAAACAACAAAAATTCTACCTTGGCTGAATTTGTCTTTCTTTTGTTTAATTAGATTTGCTCATTTAAATAACAATGCTCATTCCCTGGACGATTTGGGTTTTGCTTCGTACATTGAGAGAGTATAGCAACATAACAACAATAAAATGCTTTAATGGTTTTTATATAACGTATAACTAACACAATTTAAAAAGTCTTAAACTTTTAAACACGTGTAAGATAAACGGTGAAAAGCATTGTGACTGGATCTCTTTGTATATTGTAATGATTTTGGTGTAATTGGAGTTTTTTCCCTGCAATTCATTAAAGTAAACGTAAAGTAAACCCTAAGAACTCTTTCTAAATCGTACAGTTTATGAAATAAGGTTCATCCTGAAATAGTAAGTGAAAATTACTTTGATTTTTTTAAGCAGTTTTTGCTGGCGTTGCTTACTTTCAGTGGTTGGTCAAACGAAAGATGGTACAGGAGTCTCATTCAGCCTCAAACTGTTTTAAAAACTACTATCCAACATTTGTTGTACTTTTTGTTTAATATTTATTGAAAATAGAGAATATTGATTCAGTTTAACCTAGAAAATATTGAAGTGTTGAAGTAAAAGGCTCAAGTTACCAACATTTCATTGAATTTCATAATCTTGCTTCTAAAACATTTTTCCTACCACTGCATGGAAATGATCACATTGCCCTACCTGTAAACATTATGCACAATAGCACATTGCCGCTCTATAGCAGGAATGGATCATTCCTGCTCACTAATCAGCTGGTTTCACAGTTGTCGTTTCTACACCGACCACAGCTGCGGATCCGGTACATTAGTTAACAACCAGTAAGCAAATAACATAACCTTAAAATACCATCGTCGCAGCAAACCTGCAGACTAAGTGAATTTCCATTTGCCTGAATTGATTTTAAATTAAATCTATTTAAATAACATTAGGTTTAACAAGTATCTTGGTTTGCTGCTACAGGGAGGCTAATAAATTGTGGTTTTAGTAAAATATTAGTAGCTTACTATAAAGTAAATACATTTTCCAAGTTTGATCAAAATATTTCCATAAACAAGCTAACTACAACATTTTACAATATTCTCCATAAGAATAACATGGGAATTTTAAATTTACAATTTTTTAAATTTTCTCTGTAACTAATAACCATACAAAAAAACTTTGGCATACTAAATTATTTGTTTTTTAAGCCCTTTAAAATGGTCTAGAGATAAATTAGGAAATTTTGTGTTTTGAGGGTCAAAAATGAGAAAAACCATTTTTTACCCCATAAAACCCCCTGTAAAACCCTGTTCCCATGGTCAGATCATACTGGTTCTCAAACTGATTCAAGTTTATCCTGCCTTACACCTTCAAACCATCAAAATCGGAGAAAAATTACTCAAGATTCACGGACGTAATGTATAAAATTTATATACATATATAAAAATTTGAACGAATAGTGTTTTTGGCCTCTAGGGACATAAAAATTAAAAAATGTATCGGTCCCGGCTCCAGGTCTTACCGTGCCACCTTTGGAAATATCTACTTCCCTATAGGGAAATTCGCTAAAACGCAAACACAATCTAAATGACTTTTTATTTACATATAAAAAGCTGTGTGCTAAAGTTAATTATGGTGGTAGGGAATATCTTGTGTGTATTACGAGCACAAACAAACATTGCCGCTCTCGAAATGTATGGCCCCACTCAACTGAAGCTTCATGCGGCCATCTTACAGTTCTTAAACGTTTTACAGTCTGTATTTTCATGGAGGTCTTGTACATTTTTGGTTAGCTTATTATACAAGGTGTTTTTAAATACAGAGGAGTCTGTTTTATGCAACCTATTTCTGGGTGCTTAAGAGATGTTTGGAACAAGTCTCGTATATGTGGTCCCCGTAAAAAAATCCCCACACACTAACTAGATCCACATTTGCCTTTGTATGAATTTAAAATATACAAACTATCAACAGAAAGTATTTTAAGGTTCTTAAAAGTAGGCATATAATCTTCATACTTCCCCATAGGGCCATATCTCTACGTCTTATAATACCATAACTCATGTGAAATTCAAAGAGGCTATAAAGCATGCCTGCCTTAGGTCAGGGACACTTGTCGGCAAAATCGGAGCCGGCAAAATTTGAAATACACAGGAAGGCATGGGAAAAGACACACTGCTCTGGTGCGGCGGGAATATGCCCTGGCGAAACTGTCGGATATTCTCTACTTCGCCGGACCGGCTGCTTTACTTTAATAATACTTTTCAATGAAATGGCGACTATACAAAATAGGTATTTTAAAACAAGTATGAATGGAGATGAGTGTAGGATGAGTGGTGCAATCTTGTAGTCTTGTTAGTGACTAAGGACGACATATTCCTTAGACACAGCTGTTAATTAATGGCCCATACAGCTAATGGCAACTAAGGGACTTGCAGTTTATAGTAGAATTCAAACCACATTTTTGCCTTGGTATATACGAATTGGTCTAATACAAAATAGGATAGCACTGTGGATAGTTGTAGTATTTACTCGTGTGGATGTTAATCCACACCAGGGAGTATCACATCCACAGTGCATGCCTATAAATATCCACAATTCGTGACCTCCTAGTAGCTGGATTACAGGATGACGCCACCCGTCCCAGTCATGCTCTGCAGGCCCGCAGGTAGCCGGCCATTGTACAAATGTAGAGCACACGTCCCGGCGAAACAGCCGGACCTGCCCCTGCCACTCCTCCACAAATAATTTATGTCATATAGGCTATAAATTATGAAGCTTTATTACCTTAATATTACTGATAGCATCTCTTGTGTATGGATATAGTTTCTCATATTAGTGTCTTGTCCCTGTATTATAACTCTTATCTTGAAGAAATGCTTGTCGAATATAGTCACGGACATACAGAACTAATAAAAAAAATGTTTTGGTTATTCCTGAGCTGAAAAAATAAAGTTTAAAATAAAATGCTCCATGAAGCTGCCTTTTTTCTAGAATGGGATGGACTCAAATACTGAAACCCCCAAATACTAACCCAAATACGGTGGTGGAGCAAACATAGCATAGCCTATTTCTTCAGGGTTGACAGTACCATTTCAAACACATGATTAATATTCCAAGTTTATTGCACTCTATTTATTATCGCCGGTTCCGGCAGGACCACCAGCCGGCGATTTTGCCAGCAAGTGTGTCACTGGCCTTATACCGCCCAAGTCCAGTGAACCACTGAGTTTGTTCAAAGCAAATACCCCACTGCTCAACTTTTTTTGAAGACCTATTAAATGGGGAAGCCAATTGAGTTTGGGATCCAGGTAGACACCAAAAGAACTAGTGTTGGAAAAGTGGCATCAACATGATCCATGTCTCTCAAACTAAAATTGCGATAGATGTTCTCTGCATTTACTTTCAATTCTTTTTTAGACAGCCAATTTTGAACAACTTTTTTTACAATTTTTTGATTCAGTCAATACCAGTCAGGATGTAAATTGTATTTGTTAACATTTATTATAGTTGTGTCATCATCATATAGGAGGACAGTGGCAGGAACATTATTCTTTTCCGTTTATATTATAGTAGCTAAACTTATCCAGTAGGATAGTGTGAGAAACCTTGTCAAATGTTATACTCAGATTATAAAAAAGTAAATGAGGCTAAACATTTTTACTCAAAAGCATTCAAAATATAGTTTATTAGCTGAATCATTGTATGTGTTTGCAACGTATATTTCCTGGGGGGGGGGGGGGGGGAATAGTGTCACAAACATTGCCTACAATTGCTGAGTAAAATTCTAGGGTCTGTGATAAGGGAAACCACTAGACTAAAAGTCGGATCTAACCGGTATACGTCTGTCTCATACACGGGCACTGTGAACAAGTAAAAACAAGTCACCAAACAATGGTGCACTACTGTCGGGGAAAAAAGTTTATACACTCGAGTTTGGAGCTCTACAGAAAAGTGACCAACTTAGAAAAACATGTAGGGTATTGGGGAGAAAGGGATTGACTTGATCTTTTTCCTCCAATGTTATTTTGGTTCTTCCTTTTTACTTAAGTTTCAAGAACTGCCTTTTGAGACTTTAGTTTCTTTATTTGCCTGATGTAGATCCTTATTCAAAGTTTTAACATTGACTATCGGATACTGAAGCCACCAACCACCTCACCACACCACCACCACTCAACCAGCCATTTTTTTTATTAAAAAAGAATGTAGTTGTGTGAGCCAGTCACAGAATGCTCTAGTGTCAAAAAGTCTATTTTATACCTTATTTTTTGTTGCTGACCAGGTTGATGGGTCATAACAGTTGCTCATCATAAGTCATTCTCTAAGTTTGACTTGGTTAAAAAGATTGTGTATTTGGCAGAATTTAGTAATTTAGATCAGCGCAATCTGTAGGTGGCTCACATCAATTACGATGATTTTGATAAAAAAGCTGGCTGCAAATTTAACATGGGGATGGAATGTCTAATTGTATTGATAGTCAAAGGTTTTAAATATTTCAATTTGAGTTTCCAATCCCTGAATTATTATTTTTTTATTCCTAGATAGTTATACAATCACTTTAAAGTGGCCAATAATCCACAGGTCCTGTGTTACCAAAGTTGTTACCTGATAGAGTTTGTTCCATATTTCCAAAGCCCATAACAAATTTAATCTTTATCTTAATATTCTTAATATTTTATCCAATCCCACGCTATTAACTTTTGTCGTCTGATTGCTCTTTGGGTCGTGCATTCGAAGCACCATTGGTTATCAGACGTTGGCATTAGCTTTGGAATGTCACATCCAAAGAACAAGTTGTAATTTGTAGCCGGATTAAATTCCCTACTTTTTAAAATCTTTATTGGCCATGGTGGAAGATTACATATGTGTAATCCTTCTACTGTACACTTTTTTCACTCAACATTTCAATCTGTTTTAATTTTACTCAACCAAAGCTGTTTAAACTCAAGTCTGTGCTGAATTTTTGGTATTTTCAGCCCTAGGCCAAATTAAACTGAACTGCATTTGGAAATTGGAAAGAAATCCCTAAAAAGTATGATTTCCCTAAGTAATTAAAAACACCTTGAATTTACAAAATTAAACTAAAGAAAATAATTTAAAAACCCATCGAATAGTTACCATATTAATTAAAATTGAACCGACGATTTTATTGTACTTTTTCAAGCAAACGTGACACAGACTTTTCATATAAATCTGTTTGATTTAGAAGACAGAGCAATAATGTTAAGATGGAATAAGGGTAGTTAATACATTTATCCATTTAAACTGATTGAATTCCAATCAATTGATCAAATATTGAAATTGATCATTGGATTGGCTCTCTTTGGCCACATCTTCTCTCTATCGTTATCAAATGTCTTTTACTGGCTTTCATTGTACCACTTGCCATTTCTTTTAGTTGTCTTTTCACTCCAAAACATAGTTTTTAATAGTTTGATTGGTTAGTTATAAGTATTTTAAAAATGTTCAATATTTTTAATTTCATTCAAAGTATTAGAATGAATGTAACCCAACATGAAATGTACTAGGGATAGATATTCCAAATTTGGTTCTATGTTTTTTATTCATTCAATATATTTTCTTACAGTTCTTTCAAACCAGCAAAATTATAAAAAATGATACCGGTATTCAAAATTGTCCTTAAAAGCATTGTTAAACAGCAAAATAAGTTTATGGTCTAAGTGACAAATTAATGTAAGTATCCTAAATAATGGTGGAAATGCTTTTTCTGATTGTGGATAATTTATGTAAAAACCAAAGCCATATAAATATTCAACTGAATGCTGTTAAACTGGTTCAATGTCGTCGGAGATACAGTACCAGAATATCAAAGGATTAATTGGAAGGGTGAATAGACATTCTTTTACAAATATAAAATCATAGATATCAAAGAACATTGTATATAAACTTAAATTAAGGAAAGGACCCAATGGTACTGTCACTCAGGTGAACTGAGAACTTAGGCTTATTTTGAGTATTTATCTCCGTTCTAATGACTGTTAATGTGTTCAAATTTAATTTGATTATTTTTCTCATTGAGATTTATATTGTAATTATTACTATATAACATCATGAACAAATATCTTTTTGAACAAAACCAAGATAAATAAAGCAAAAATAAATTGATCTCAAACCCCATTCTAATTAAGAGAAGGTTTATTTTAGTTTTATTATTGTTTATTAGTAAGTATTATCAGCAAATTATTTTCATTGTATTGTTCAGTAAATGAAAAATGTTCCATAAAGAATTAATTTGTCATTTTTAATACAAATACAATGTTGACTGTTTAAAGTTATTATGAAATCAAAGCTAAAAGATATTTGATGTAAGGATGAATGAATTTATACATAAAATCAATTGGTCGCATAGAGTTGGCTCAAAAAGTTATTGACGGTAGACACCAAAGCTCTTAATGGAATTGATATGCTAATAAATGTTTATTTAGTTTTGGTTCAGAAGGACCTAGTGTTAATTTTAACTGATTTTTGTTGTAAAAATGTTCATTATCTCATTTATATATTTCATAGTGTAATACCTCAATTCCCTTTCTCAATTATTTTATTAAGTGAATTGTATTTGCATATATTTTTCATCCATTTTCTGTCTAAATTTAATATGCAAATTTGTTCTATCCTGAAACACAGCTAAAAAACGTATTTAGGTGTAAATCCAATTTGTTGTTAGAATAAATTATATAAATATTATTTAAAAGCTACAATTGACTGTGTCATAAAAATAATTATTGCTAGATTTTATTTGTACTATAATCAGTATTTTGTTGCAGTGAAATAAAACTGGACAACAAGAAGAAGGAGAGGAGGAAAGAGGATAAGAAAAAGAAGGAAGAAGAGCTCGGAGAAACAACGGACGAAGAACTTCATGATCCTCAGGGTGAGTACTGATTTTTGGACTTGCTTTTGCAGTGTTTCCACAGACCCTGATAGTCTGCATTGACAAGGGAACCTCTTTAAATGGACTTTGTTGTAAAATAAAGTCTGACCTTGATATAACGAATTGCTTGATATTACTGATACTGATGATACATGGGGGGAAGATTATACTGAGGCCTGTAAGATCTATCCTGTCCCCCAAAGTAGTCTCCAGTATTTGCCAAGAGAACCCACTCCAATCCTAACTCATTAATGAAGTTAAGCAACAGTTGGTGTTCTAACTGCGGAAAATCTTCAACTGTTACTTGGTGCATACCCAAGCTCTTGGCTCTCTTTCGCCCAACTGCATCACATTCAGCCAATAAATGTCTGGGTGTTTCTTCCCCTGATTGGCAGAATCGGCAGTCACTTTACTGACGATGTTCATTTTTGTCAGATCCTACAATGTCCAGTTAGAAAATCTGTTAACATTCTCAAACTGTTCTTATTCAGCTTGATCATGGTCTCAGACCTTCTTGCGTTGTATCCTCCAAGCAATTCCTTAGCTTACCGACATCCTTGACTAGAAGTCCAGCCTTTAGCTCTGGTAACATTTTCGTCTTCGTTGAGCTTTTTTTTTTGAAGAACGAGTCTTTGAGTGCACACCCTGGTTCTGGCCCTAGGAGGGGGGTAGCTGCCCCTGATGTCCAGGTACCCAAAGGAGTGATAACTTGTTTTTCTTTCCCAACAGGTTCAGACTTTGCCGGCAATTCCATACTATCTTAGAGCTGATAACTGATGAGCTCAGTGCTCCAATGGCCCAAATACCCCTACTCCGATTCCCTCATTTGTCTTTGAGCCATCAGTATACCACCTGATGACATGATTCCCAAATGATTTGAGGGGGTTTCCATCCCAGCCAAGTTTATTCCCTAGCTCAACAACAAAGTTATTTTTGAAGTGTACTTCCTTACCCTAGAATCCCTTGGAAGGTACATCAGATCCCTGGCGGGAAAAACTCACCACTAACCATGGAGGAAATGTTTGTGCCATTCTTCTCCATTCTAAGTAGAGTCTCCCTTGCTATTCTCTCTACCATAATGTGTAGAGGTGTCAGATTCAAAATCACTTCTATGGCCGCAGTTGGACAGTATCTCATAGCTCCTGTGATGATAATGCAGGCCAGCCTCTGTACTCTCTCCAGGGCTTTCCTTGTTGTTTCCATCTTGGTCCTGCTATCCCAAGCTACACACCCATATTTCATGATTGGTCTCCCCTAAAGTATACACATGCTTTTTAGTATGTATGGGTCTAGAGCCCCACATCTTCCTAGCCATAATCTGCATACCATCAGGACATTGGCTTTGTTGGTCACATTCCCTATGTGTCTGTTCCACAGTAGTTTCTTGTCCAGGACTAGCCCCAGAAACTTCACTTCTGATTTCCATTCAAGCTCCTCCGCCTCAAGCTTGATGGTTCTCAGGTGGGCAAGATTTCTCTTCCTTGTGAATGGGACAATTTAGCTTTTGTTCGGATTAACCGATAACCCAGCGGACTTGCACCATTCCTTGGTTCAATTTATAACTCTCAATTTTCAAACTTCTCTCTTGCAATGATGACCACGAATACTAGAAAAATACCGGTATGGATCAAAAACATAAACAAATGATGTTTTTGGCCTGAAAGTAAACAAAAACCTTATACTAATAGCATTAATTAACATATGTTTTTGTTTACTTTCGGGCCAAAACCGTCATTTGTTTATGTATATGATCCATACCGGGTCTTTTCTAGTATTCGTGAATTATGACTATATCATCTGCAAATCCGATACATCACAATCCCTTTCTAGTTAACTTTCCAAGAAGTTTATCGACCACCAGACTCCAAAGAATCCTTGATATTATAATTTTTTTTATACCTAGAACTCTTTATAAGACACAGTGTATATTTTACATCTACGTAACGACCACAAATTTTCGAAGATCACGGCTAAAATGAGACACCTCTAACAAATTTATCATTGTCAGAACCTCAACATAGCGAATTTAACCTCTACTCAACAAATTGGCTGTGTCTTTCCCTTGTATAAAAAAAAAAAAATTTAATTGTGATATCAATGGAAATCTTTGTTTACGCAGTATTACAGTGTTTTTATATCGGTTGTCATATTTTCCCTATACCATACCATGTTGAATTAACTGTGGTTTTCACTATCCGTGGTCTCCCTCCTTCTTATTACCCCGCGGGTAATCGAGGTTCTACTTTACAATGCCAATACTGAACTTTGAAATATTGTAGCCTATGCTACTTATTTGTGTTTTAATGAGGTTGAATTTTGACCTATATTGACCCATGAGAAATCCCTACAAAAATATCCTCAATATAACTACAGTAGAGTCCCGCAAACTCGGCACTCGATAACCCGGCAGTCTGGATAACTCGGCCATCACCTGGCTCAGAAAATTAGTGATTTTTTGACTCAAGCCAGCTCAAGTCAAATCATTAGCAACTCATACCAAGGATTTGTTGTACTATACAGGGTGAGTTTCTACTAAGTGCGTTAATTTTTACCAGTTATTCTACTCACTAAAAGGAACAAAAAATGACAAACAAAAACTTTCCATCCCCACTCGTTATGCTGTAATGGCCGATTATGTGAATTTTTAAAATTACCTGTAGTAGCTTCACTAAAACGAGCATAGAAATTAAGCCAATACACGTACAGCATAATAACTTATACCAATACAAAGAGCGTTAAATTTCCTACAAAACCATTGCAACACCTTTAACATACAACCATATTTTCACCGTTGTATGTCTCACATAACATAAAAAAAAGAAGTTTCAAAATTAATTCTTTACAACTTCAAAGTGGTTTTACAACCATACATACTAATGTGATGTTTTGTCAAATTACGTAAAAAACTTTCCCATTTCATGCCCTTTAAAATGATGTAACCCATAAGGTTATTGCTGTATTAAAAGTTCGAAAAATTAGGTCAAAACCGCGTCAAGGTCAGAGTTTTCGGAATCAAAACATTGAACCAAATGTAATACAGTATCTGTTAATTTCTTTGCTATCTTATAATCAGCTGACATCTGATCAGCTGGGTGTTAAATATAAAAATTGAGTTTCCATGTTTTCAGAATGGATGGTGGTAAAATTTGAGACATTGCTAAGTCTTAGTGTACAGTTGTAGAAATTTGAGAGCTTTTAAAAATTGGCCAAAACTTCTGTGCACACGGACGGGTCACTACTAGCCGCACTAAAACATACGGGTGCCAGTTATTGGCAGTGCTGGGGGTAGGGGTGAGTGAGTTACGTTGGGTAGCAAGACACAAATGTTTTCACAAAAGTACCTCCACCACCCACTTCCCCAAGACCCGACCAGTTATTCACAGACATTTTGGCCAAAATTTACTAAATAGCCTTACTTCATGATGACTCTCATCATAAGAGATGTTTTATAAAATTACCAAAAAACACTTTCTTCTCTTAACCCCACGCCCATCTGTACATAGACTTTTAGCTTTAACTGTATAGATAAGTGTGATGGCTTCATGTATGGTAGTTTATGCACACAGTTATATTTCTTCTAAATTGAATTTTATTGGTCATAAGAAAAAAGTTAAGTATGGGTTAGGAATATTTTAAGAAAGGTGTTTTTGGAACCTTGTAAAGAGTTTCTTACCTGATTGTCAAGGTGTTGTATAATATTTGTGATGGTTAAATTTACCTGAAGATATCAAAGTGGTGTAATCCCCAAAACTGAAGACGGGAATATCTGCATTTAAATTCAGTAAGCAATATTGACATGTACTCAGAAGTCACTCAGAGTACATTATTAAATTTAAAATGTCTCCTGGTTTGACCCACTAAGCTGTAAATTATCTGATTATGAAAGAAGCTCTCAATGAAAACATAACTATTTGTTAAATACAGACATTTAATGAGAGATTATCACGACATGAATTTATGAAACATTTCAACCAGCATGCATAGAATAATTATTAAGCTCTCCATACTCTATTATGCATTTCAAAGAAACCGTTTTTTGTAGGACTGATCCATTTTTCTATTCCACTGGTTTGTGAGCCTAGGAATCCCAAGTTTGTTCTCTGCATCTTTTTGTCACCAGTTTTCACCCAGCACTATTGCTATAAAATTGCTATAATATTGCTACACAATGCTATAAAATAATTAGCAAACGGGTCACAAAATATATAAAATCCAAAATGTCCAAAATTTGAAACAAAACAGTATCCTTATTCAAAATCTTAAATCAAACCATTAAGTCAGAGGGTAAATGTAATTAGCAAATTTTATCATAAAACTAACTATGATGGCATTGGAATTAGTTTAAAAAGAGCAATTTCAGAATTTTGATCATGACAAAGGAAATTGAATATCACAATAAGTGCATATCATTATTGTAAAATCATGGTCTTTGAATGATAATTGTGTCTAAAAAGGATGATCATTATCCAATGTTTGGCCCTGATGCAAAGTGCAATCTTTAGGGTGACTTTTTAAATTTCACTGAGCAGAAGCCAAGTAGTCCTAAAGATGGCACTCTACATCAAGGATGAAACGGAGGATGATTTTCCTGTTTCCAAACTTAATCCTGCTTGTCCATGAATATTGTTTTACTTTTTTCTGGCCTAGTTTGAATTTAGTATAAATAAAAGGAAATAGTGGATATTTAAAGTAATGGTAAAAATCTCAATATCATTTAATTGCTCTTTTTTTGCTTAAATTATCAGCATCTTAAAAATAGTGCAATTAATTATATAAATGGCATAGATAAAAAAGTTTATCTTTTCCATTTTGAAAGGAACATCACTCTGGGACACCAATTATTGAAGGGAAATGTTTAACAGCCCAATAAACCAACATATGAATGTAATCACTAATTCTTAATAACCAATTTGTAGTCATTGAAACGAAATCCTGTTAGGCCTTTTGCCCCAACTGTTTCCCTGCCTTTGACAATACCGAAGATCAGTACAGAACTGCTC